TAGACCCCTGCCTGGCATTCTTCGAGTCCGATCCCACATACCGTAGCCAACAGCCTTGACCAGCGTTGTCCGAACATACCACCGCAAACATACCAACAAGAGCGCAATGATGGTAAAGGTCAGGCAAACTGCCGTTATTCGTGGTCCATCGGTCGGTACATCGTCAGGCGTGTTGTACGTCCAGCCAGTCATGATTGGGTCCAGGAGGTTCGGTTGTCGACGGCAAAAACAGCCCAGTAGAAAGGAGGACGGGGACGGCGAACAATCAAATCTGGGACCACTGACCTTAAAGACAAGTATAGGACAGCCCACACTAGGTATACTCGCACTAGTAAGAGAGGTAAAGTCCATTTTTGCTGCCCTTCTTCTTTCTCCACGTACTCGTAAAAGCCCGTCTCCGAACCCAGTGGTGTGGCAGACCCTTGCTGCATCACATCTCGTTGCGGCTGCGGCACTGCATGTGTGAGGCGTCGAAATTGCGCGAGTGGCTTGCTGAAGAGATTCGGGCTTTCCAAGTTTCTCCACATGTGCCGGGACGGTGATTGACGATTACCTATACCTCCCCCCCCCCTTCCCCTTCCTTTTCTCTATCCCGTACCTTACTTTGTAAGGATACGCTAGGCTCACCGGCGCGGCGCCTACGAAGATCAAAGGGAACACCCAGCCGGGCGGGAATCATGCAGCAGCGTCGTTTCGACGGTGGACTTTGTGTGCGCATTTGCCGCATGCGTAGTCACTAGTCGGCGAAGGCAAAGCTTAAGCTCGTGGCTACCATGCGGGGACGACAAGTCCTGAGTCCTGACGTTATGGCAAGGTGTGACATAGTTTAGCGTCGGCGGTGGCTTGTTGGAATATGGCTTTGTTCCTGGAGATCCGGCTCCGAATTCCAAAGAGCTCGCCGAACGGCGCGCGTTGTGTCTCAGTCACAGAGACTTGGACAGAGACAAACACCACGAATCACACCTTGTCTGGATCTGTGTCTCGACTCTCGAGGGGGCGGTCATCCCTACCTGGTGGTCACTCGCCTCCAGGCGGCAGGCCTGGCTCCCCCAAGATCGTGTGTCTGTGAGATCCTCGCAATGTCGCGAGACTATGCAAAACACACCATCCAAGACACTGCTCGTATCCCTCACGCCCATCGATTTTCAAACTTTCGCCTCGCTTTTCCTGGCCCGCGCAAGGCCTGGGCCAGTGGACGAACATCTGATCGATGATCGATCAAATCGGTTCCCCAAGAAAGCCCGTGTTCCCGCCCTACCATCCATTGCACGTACGACGATACGACCGGAGAGGGAGGGAAGAAAAATAATCACCCTAGGAAGCTGGGGTTCGCAAGCCCGGCAGGGCATAAAAAACGAAATGAACCACAGGGCCGCCTTTTGTGATATCTGATCTTTACAGAGGGCCTCCAACCTGTAGAAACCCCGGTCCTTCGAGATTAAGGTTTCGCGGATGACCCAGGTCCGTCCCGCCCAGGCGTTCACGAGTCAAGCGCGGGCAGGGGTGCCGAGATGCGGCGAGCCCGGCGAGGCAAATCGGGAGGCCGGACCACCCCCCGGATGTGGGTCCCCGCGCCGCGACCCTTGCCCGTTCACTTCAATACTATTAAACTACCCCCGCGCCCGGTTCCCACCGCCAAGATGAAGAAGTGCGGTTTTATACCGTTGGTTCAAGGGTTCACAGCGGAAAGACGGCTTTTGAATTCTCCATTTGACTGGGTTTACCGAGGATTAGGCGGACCGAGGGACAGAGATTTCACCCATCTTACGGAGTACTATATGGTATCCGTGGTGCCCGGCTTACTGCAGTATGCCCGCAATTTGTTGTTGGTTCCAACGACTCGCCCGCCTGCATATTGAGGATGCAAGGTACGAATCGTCAGCAAAAATGAGCCGACCAACGGCAGACGGCACCGGCTTGCGGGGGGGGCGCAGTGGTTTACCCCGACGAACCCCCGGAGATCATGTCCAGAATTGTGCAAAACCGCGCAGAAAGTGCTGGTCATTGAGTGGGAATATTGCGCTCTCTTGTATCTTCGCCCAGTGGACAAGACGGCAATACAGATTGAGGCAATTTAGTAAAGGGAAGAAAGAGTCCACTTTGGGCAGCGTCGCATATACAATATCAGAGCATCTGCCTCGCGTGAAACTTTTCCAAAGTGGTTTGTGTCTCTTTTGGCCCCCTCTCACCCCCTCTCCGCCTTTTCGCTCTCGCGACATCGTCCTTCCTCCGCCTCCTTTTCTGAGTTTTTGCTGCTCGGACTGTGCAGCGATCTGCGAGGAAGCTAGAGCCTAACCTAGAGAAGCACGTTCCTCTCTCGAAATAACCTTACCCCCATTGCCAAGATGCGCGTCTCGATCCTCGCTTCCTTGGTCCTGGCCGGCGGAAGCGCTTCCGTCGCCGCCAGGTGCTCGGGCCTGGGCAGCTCTTCGACAAACTCGACGACGACGCCTTCGTGCAAGTATCTCCCTGGAGATGCGGGATGGCCCTCTGCGAACACCTGGGCGCAGCTCAACGACACCGTTGGGGGACGTCTGGTCGCAACCGTCCCGCTGGGAAGCGCATGCCACGGCGATGCTTACAACGCGACTGAGTGCGCTCGTCTGCAGGAGGCGTGGCTCTATTCGGAAGTCCAGTGAGTCTGCTATTCTCGCTCTGTCTCTTTTCTCTCGTAGACTTTCTCGTTTGCTTTCTTCCTCCCTCCGGCTCAAGTTCTGTTTGCAAGTCACACCTCCCTCTTTGGGGAGTTGCGTGACTCAAACTCGCGTCCCGCGCGTGTGAGAGATATCATGGACAAGGACTAATGACTCGCGTCCAACTTCGCAGCATGGAGTCTTCCTCCTCGGTTATGGCCCCCCTGTTCGCCAACGCCAGCTGCGACCCTTTCACGGCGCAAGACGTTCCTTGCACCTTGGGCAACTATGTCAGCTACGCAGTGAACGCCTCTGGGCCCGCGGACGTCCAGGCCGCGCTCAAGTTTGCAGATGAGAAGAATGTGCGCTTCATCATCCGCAACACGGGTCACGACTACAACGGCCGGTCGACCGGTGCCGGTGCCCTGGCCATCTGGACCCACTACCTCAAGGGAACCGAGATCGTGGACTGGGAGGATGAGCATTACGCCGGCAAGGCCCTCAAGGCCGGCGCGGGCGTGCAAGGGTTCGAGGCCATCGCCGCCGCCAACGAAGCTGGGCTTGCCGTCGTCACGGGAGAGTGTCCTACTGTTGGCATCGCCGGAGGGTATGTTCAAGCCGGCGGCCATTCTGCGCTGAGCACCATCTACGGCTTGGCCGCCGACAATACCCTCTCCTTTGAGGTCGTCACCCCGACAGGAGAGCTCCTCACTGCCTCGAGAGCAGAGAATGAAGACCTGTACTGGGCACTGAGCGGCGGCGGCGGCGGCAACTACGGCGTCGTCACATCCATCACCACCCGAGCCCACCCCGACGCCCCCGTCAGCGGCGCCAAGTTCGCCGTCACCGTCGCCGACAACGAGACGCTGTACCAAGTCATTGACGCCTTCCACGCCGCCCTCCCCGCCATCGTCGACTCGGGCGTCATGATCATCTACTTCTTCGGCCCGGGCTTCCTCCAGTCCCCGGCCATGACGGCCTACAACAAGACCCAGCCCGAAGTCGAGCAGATCCTCCAGCCCTTCACCGACTCCCTCGCCCAGCTCAACATCACCCTCCAGCCGAACCTCACCTCCTTCGACAGCTACCGCGACCACTACAACAACTACTGGGGCCCCCTCCCCTCCGGCAACATCCAAGTCGGCACCCAGCTCTTCGGCGGCCGTCTCCTGCCCCGCGCTGTCCTCCCCGACTTCGGCCCCACCGCGCGGCAGCTCGTCGAGCTGGGCGTCACCTACATCGGCGTCGGCCTCAACGTCTCGCACTTTGGCCACGACGGCGCCGACGAGAGCGCCAAGTTCAACGCCGTCCTGCCCCAGTGGCGCGACTCCATCGTCCAGGTCTCCCTGACCCTTCCCTGGAGCTTCGAGGTGCCATTTGAGGACATGGTGGCCGAGCAGACGCGCATGACTGAGGTCGTGCAGCCCGTCATCGAGGCGGCTACGCCCGGCGCGGGCGCGTACATCAACGAGGCCGATTTCCAGCAGAAGGATTGGCAGGAGACGTTTTACGGCGTCAACTACGAGACACTGCTCGGCATCAAGAACAAGTACGATCCCAAGGGTCTGCTGTATAATGTGGCCGCCGTCGGCAGCGAGGCATGGACTGTGGACAATAACGGGCGCATGTGCAAGAGCAGCTGACTTGCTGAGAATAGTACCTCCCGCAAGATCAAGGTCGCTCAAGCGCCACTAAACCACTAAATGTATAATGTGTACCTACTTATAGTAATATGCCATGAACATGACCTTATTCTACGCGTCGATGATTTCTCATTTTCTTGTTGGATTTCAACATTTCTAATATCATTGACAACACCTAGTGGCTTTAACAGCGACCTTTCGTAAGCGAGCGCGGTGTAGTGTTATGCTAACCAACGGCCTTGAGTAAAGGACCGAAGAGTTTCTATTTCTTACATACACCTTGATAAACCATTTGCTTCCCTGGAATGTTAGAAGAGCTTCTTTGCTCGAAATGTCTGTTCGACCATATTACAAAACAAATACCGATTCTCAAAGTTGTATCTGTCTACTGGTGGCCTTTATCTTGTCAAAGCAAGATAATCTTTCAAAAATATGACCATAGGTATATCTGTACAAGAAAGTATATTTTTTGCAGTACACGAAAATGGGCAGTGAGCATCTACTAAGTTTATTAGATCAGTATACATTCTACAACCAGATCTTTTGGAAGCTACTGCAGGTAACTGTTTGGGTTAGTTCCTAATATAACCATGATGAATTATAATGATGATGCAACAAGATTTATCCCCCAAACGGGACATTCTTCATTATCAAGCCAAGGTAACAGGGCACATACAACAACTCAATATTCGCACAAGAGCACCAAAGTACACTCATCCAACAACCGACCACCATTAAAATCCGCCCCCGCAACATCACCCCTCAGACCCAACAGCTCAGAGACCTCAATCAACCCAATCCACCTCAATCTCAACCTCGTCCCCCTCCACAACCTCCTTCCCGCTCCTCACAAGCTCCCGATACATAACCTCTCGCAACCTCCCCGCAAACCTCGCCTCGCCCTCAATCTCAACCCCTAAGTCCCTCCCACAGAAAATCATACTCATGAACCCCTTCTTCGCCAACCTCGCCACATCGGCATCGGCATCGTGACACAGCTCCTGGAGACGATGTCGCCAGCGCAGCCAGTGGGCCATGCTGAAGTCACCGTACTGGGTTCTTGCGGTAGGGTGGTCTGCTTGAGGACCATCAGCCGGCGAGATCGGATACGTTGCCGCGGTATTGGTAGTATCAAGCCCACCTGCCGCGGGAGAAGGACAGCAACGCGCAAGGAGCGCATGCGAAGCGTGCTTCAGCCATACTCCAACCGCTGGAACTAACCCCCTCTTCCCAACTTCTCCCTCAGCCTCAGCCTCACCTTCACCCTCATACCCTCCCAAAGCCTTCTCAAAAACCCAAAACGCAGTTCCAGCAACGGAACCCTCACACAAATCCATCGCCAATACCTTTGCAGAGAACGCGGCGAGGTTCCGAATTTTCTGTGCCGCGCCCGCGTTCCTTGGCAGGTCTGCGACGAGTTGTTCCCATGCGAGCTGTAGACTCTGCCCGAATCCAAATGACTCCCAACCACCACGCTTCACGATGCCGTGAAGCCGTCTGTACAACCCATCAAACTCCCTCGTCCACGCAAGTAACCCTACAAGACGATCCTGAAATGCGTCATCTGCGTCGAGTACCTGTGCTGTCTGTATGAACATTTCCCAGAGGACGTTGAGACCTTGCCGGGCGAGGGCGTCTGCACCTGTCTCTGCATCTGTGTCTGGTTCTACCGCATTATTAATCTCCTCACGCTCTCCGCTTGGGCTGTGATACTCCTCCACGACTTCTTGACGGGAGTAGGAGGCGTGGGCCGCAGCTTTGAGGAATTGAAATGCAAAACTCTGGATCGAGGTCAATAGGTCCTGTTTTTCTTTGGCGGTGGACGGTGGAGAAGCCAAGTCTGCGATGAAGCCTGCGCTTGCTTCGGCTAGGAAGGACGCTGTGTTTGGGATAGCGGTGATGAGGTGCGTAGAGAACGGCATCTTTTTGGGGTTTGTCGTTGTATATTTTTAGACTTTTGGTGGTGACTTGGTGAGGTGAAGAGAATGGAAAGACGTCAGGCGTATATTTACTTGAGAAGCAATTATTGAGGGCATGTATTGCATCTCTCGTTTTCAAGAGGAATATAGAGAGCGGTAGAAAGTTTTTATATTCTTGGGTATGGATGCAGAATAGCTTTTATACAGAAACTTGAGATGCCATTTCATGGTACTCACCTTCAGGCAGAAGTTAGAGTCAGCTCACGTGACATTCTAGGCATCAGGCTTTCTCAAGTTTCATTACAATGAATTCTTTAACGTGATAATATTGATTTTAAATAGCTGTCCGAGATAGGTTCTGAGTTGCTGTTGATCTGTAGCTCAAGGTCAACTTGAGATGCGGGCATGTCGTCGTGGTTTCGCTAGGGTCGCCATGACCAATCATGTGACGTTCCAGGGGACCCACTGGATCGGATTAGGCAACTGCCCGCCGAGGAATGAAGTAAGGTACCATAACGAGGTTGAGATGGACTGAATGCTACTGAAGCGTGAACAGGTGTAGGCTTTCTTCATCCTTTAGATCATGCGGAAAGGAAGCGCCCGATCTTGTAATGGATATTTAATATTGAGGAAATTGTTTAGCCAGGCATTCAATCAAATTGCCATGAAAAGCCCGAAAAGCAATGCACCCCAACGCCGCATTATGCTGTTAACTTTTATATATACAATGATGCAAACACAAGTCCCAAGATTCAACGGTTTACATTCACGAAAATCCTTCGTCGTAAAAGTGATTACGGAACAGAAAAAATCACTGCGGCGCCCTGGGCGTACTTCCCAGAGCGCCGTTGCCGAGATTACTTGGCCTGTTGGGTCGAAGAACGACGAAGCCTTGCTCCGAGGCTGGTCGAGGCCGGACAACCTGGAACCCCTGCTCACCCGTGCCAGATTGACCGGTGACTCTTGCCCATAGTCCGGACGAAGACCGGAAGGGAGGTCGCGGAGCTGGTGGCCTAGGCAACTCCTCTGACGCCCTTTCTATTGGTGGCGGGCGGGGTACGTTGTAGTAGAGATCTGCTTCACGGAAGGAATAGTCGTTCCACCGTGGCCCGAGAGGTCCATCGCTAGGCCTGGTGGGTGACCTCTGGGATGTCGAACTGGACTCCTCCTCCGTCGACTCGGATAACCGGCTGGGGGACATGATTGACTCGGATCGCTGGACAGAGTGCTTGTCTATAAACGTGGTTGAAGTCGACGTCGTTCTTGAAGGCGTGGAGGAAGTGTATAATGAGGAGCCGAGACTGCGTTGGTTCTCGACCGACGAAATAGACGCACTGGACCGCGGTGGCCGGAAGTATCGACTAGAGGTAGTGGAAGAGGCCAGGTGCATGGTGCTGGGACTATCCGACCGATACGTCGGCCGAAGGTAGCCGGCGTTGGGTGATTCAACGGCGTTGGGCTCAGGATACGATGTGTCTGGCGTGCTGGAAGTATACATGGAGGCGAGGTTGGTTCTTGACACCTCACGTCGACGGAGCTGGCGGAGGCCATAGATCTATAGGATGCATGTCAAAAGAGATATCAAACACATCGCCTTCGAAGCTTACCTCTGGTCGCGGTGCTGTCCACCAGCCCTTGACAAATTTCGACAGCTCACAGAAAGCAGGGACGAAGAAGCCGAGTAGAAGCATGCCGCCATGAACAGCTAGAAGAAGATATCCGATAGCACTCTTGACGCCGATTGGTGTCGCAAGTCCGGGTAGGAATGCAACCAGGAAGATCAGGCTGCAAAGCCGAATGGTCGCCGCAATGCTGCCAATGGAGAAGGTCGAGTATGCTTGAAAACCGGCAATGCTAGCCAAGAGAACAAGCTCGCAGGCACCGAGGACGGCCAACTGAGCCGGCCCGGAAATCTGCAGCCCACCGACGGCGGCGCCGCGGACAAACGTGAGGGCGAACAAGACAAAAATGAAAGTCCCATCTCGGCGACGGGCATCGTCCGCGGCATGGAGCTGTCGATAACGCTTAGTGCTATGGAAAACCAGAACGCCTAGGCTGCGGGTAGGAATTTTTCGGATGAGCCAAATAAAAGCGGCCATCATGGCAAGAATCAGCGCGACAGCCATTGATGTATGGTATGCGGGAAGGATCGAGGCGTTATCGAGCTGGTAAAAAGACAAAGCCGCAAGTGGAAACATGAAGTATGACAAGATACCACGCAAGACGCGGCTAGCCGTGTATCTCATGCCGCCGGCCGACCGTGAAAACTCGCTGTCAGAGTCACGACTTCGTTTCATGAACCAGACGACCTCGATGACCAAAGCGACACTCAAGGCGATGATGAACATGAGAACGACCATGTTCAGCCAAGTGTCCATTGTCATTGGTGCGCCCGCGATCTGGGTCATGAGCTCCAGGCCATACGTACCGCCGTATGTGCCATTCAATACGTAGATCCCGTCCTCGACCCTATCATATACCACGCCGTGGGTGACTGGACCGTTCACAAAGAGGGAAAATAAGTTGAGGTGGCTGACGACCGGTTGGTAGAACCCGGGATACCGCAAGCTGAGGCCGCCGGTCAAGAAGATGAACTGAAGGTACTGGAGACAATCCCCCACGTTCGGTAGGACAGTCCTGATCGAGCGTTGCTCTTCGTCATCCTCATCGTCCAGCGTAATCGGTGTGCTGTAGGTAGAGCGTAGAATACCGACCAGGAGTACAAAGAGAAAGATGGCCCATGTCGAGTAAGTGATAATTGAGGTGACAATTGAACTTAGTGCTGGAGTGATATTTGCTTGACGACAGCTGATCTCCTCCGAGTTGTTTCCCTCGAGGTGCAAAGTCGTATGGAACGTCGACAATGGTGGCAGATGACCGATATCTTCTGAAATGGACAAATGAAGGCTGAAAGGGTTGATCAGTGACGAGCGCCAATTTTTGGAGAAATTGAGCTTTTCACATGTTGTCTTGGTTGTGGTCTGATACACAGCAGACCGGCCCAGCATTTCAAATTCGAGTGTTGCAGAGGGCATCCTGCGAGCCAGATCCTGGCATTCCGCTTCTTCCATCCATCTCCCGACCTGGAGGGTCAACTGGTTCTGGCGCCCATCGTCTGACGGCACCAAAGTAGCTCTCAGACTCTGGGGAACCAAGACATCTGTCTTGCTTGAAGGACCTTCACAGCCCTGCCATTGCACATAGGCCCCTGAGGCACAGGTGGCCACAAGCCCTGCCAGACCAAGGCGTGCGAGCATTCCCGGCCTCAGTCGCGATGAGTGGTCTCAATACAAACAGAGCGTACGTAGTCCACCAATATCACGACCTGATGTTGAGGTGACGGATGTTGATTGGTCGTCTGATTACAGTGATGTCGAAGATGCGGGAGGGGAAATTGAGCGTCGCGAGTACCGACCGGCAAACTTCAGACGCCTCAATCTTTTTTCGTCTTCACGGTGGAGACTGGTCACGGCGTCGCAGTGCCGAGGCCGCTAACGTTCAGCTACTCGTATTCTTAGGTGTTTTCTGCAAGAAGGGTTCGCCCCCGTCGCAGACCATCCCTGACTCATGAATCCACTGCGGCCCTTTCTGCGGGGATAGAGAATGTAATTCATGCTTAAGTGGTCTGGCACCACCGGGAAACCGTGCTTGACTGGCTAATCGCAGGATGAATAAGAACAAAGTGATGGAGCTGACCAAATAGCGTATCTTGCGATAACTCCTTCTAGTAATGGTCTCCGTAGCGGTTCAAAGAGGTGCCGTTGCTGTGACGAGCTGAGAAGTCAGGGGCGTTGAGTGGAGCAACAACGTGGTACAGAAAAACCGAGATGAACTAGCATCGAATTCTCGTCCAAACTTGAGATGAAGGAGTGAGGCGTTTAGAGCCGCACGGGAGAGACGGTCGACCCTGAACGATTGGTTCGAGGCTTCTAAGATCCGAGGCAAGAGAAAGCTACGCCGCCAGCGAATGTGGCGTTATGATCGACGTGGTAAACAATGGGCGCTCGGGGACCGGCTCGCGGAAGATAATAAAAAAACAAGAGAAAACACACGAATGTGGTGGCGGCGACGGCATCCTCCTTGGCAACAACTTTTGGCACCTGCAAAGCGTGGCTTTGACCAAGAGATGGCTTGGCAGACCGCTCTGTAGATCTGAAACACATCCAGCTGAAATGGGTTTTGAGATGGCTCTGGTAGAAGAACGCCTCACCGCTGGTGCTGTTCCGTCCACATCTTGCGAAGGGTTGAAGCTTCGTGAGCCGCAACTTGCCATGTGGGATGCGACTTGCGACAGTTTTTTTTTTTGACGTGGCCCCATGAGATCAAAGCCAATCCCGAGGACTCGGGACCAGGGCAATTAATTCATCTTGTCACTTGAAAGATGATTGACAATGTCAACCGAACTGAAACACTCGAGGCACTGTCAGATTGCGCGCCATCATATTCGCGGATGAGGCCAGAACACTTTGCGACATTACGGCGTCGTGAATGCTCTTGAGACGCGACTGACGAGACTGAGTACCTCGAAACGGACGGCGACTTGCCGAGCTGCGAGGCATCAAGAAGGGGCCCTCAGAATGAACGGAGACTAGGGTGAGAAGAAAAGGGGGCCGATAATATGTTGATCGGAGTTGCAACATGGCCGTTACCATTGGAGCTGTGCGAAGCCGCAAAAAAAGTCCTTCATTCATGATGGAAGACAGAACAGCGGTCGCTGTATCAGCCTCTCCGTCAGGGTGGTAAAGACAGCAGAAATGGCGCGACTGTCGGCACTTTGGAAGCTTCACCGGACGCTGAATCGGCGTGGCTTCGGAATAATGGCCGAAAAGAGGCAGGCCCCATTCGTAGTCTGCCCAAGCTGGGTAGCCGCATCTTCAATCTGTGAGTGTACCCGAGCGAACTGCCTGATCAGGCTATTCGATCATATTCCGACTAAGATAGCCTCTCAGTCACTCTTCGAGTCTGAGGGAAACGGCTGATGGTGAGAATAAAAGACAAAGATAGAAGGTTGATGGGAAAGTTGTTTGTGTCAGGGGGTGAAGAGTGCCGATGGTACCTTACATTGGCGCCGCGCTTACACAAATTAGTAAGTACAAACATACATGGTTGAAAAAAGGAACCAAACCTAAGGGCACGTAGAGTGTGTGTGTGTGATGGGCTGTGGTTCTCGACATG